GACAGGGAAGACCAGGGCACAAACTGGGAAGAGGACAACAATGTCAAAACACCTATGGACAAAACCCCAAAGAAAAACAGGAAGTGGTCACAAGCCCAGAAAGAACTCATGGAAAAGCTTAAAAAGAAGCATGAAAATCATGTAAGAGAGGTAGAAGAAAAATGAAAGAAATGAGAATGATGCAAGAGAATTATGAAAAAAGACTTAACTGCTTGAAAAACTGCTTAAAAAGTAGAATTGGCCAAATGGAAAAAGAGATACAAAAATCCACTGAAGAAAACAACTCCTTAAAGAGTACAATTGAAGGAAACTCAAAAAAATACTGAAGAAAATAACACCTTAAAAAATAGCCTAACCCAAATGGCAAAAGAGGTCCAAAAAGCCAATGAGGAGAAGAATGCCCTAAAAAGCAAAATTGGCCAAATGGAAAAGGAAGTCCAGAAGATGACTGAAGAAAATACTTCCTTAAAAATTAGAGTAGAGCAGCTAGGTGGCACAGTGGATAGAGTACCGGCCCTGGATTCAGGAGAACCTGAGTTCAAATCAGGCCTCAGACACATAACACTTACTAGCTGTGTGACTCTGGGAAAGTCACTTAGCCCCATTGCCTAGCCAAAAAAAAAAAAAAAAGCCAAGGTCTTCCGCTGCATCCAAGACCATCTCTAGTTGTCTTGATGTATTTCTTGCCCTTGGACCTAGATGGCTCCAGAAGGAGACAGAGGCTGGTGACTTTGCATAGCCCTCCCTCACTTAAATCTAATTTACTTGCAAGTCATGGCATCACCTTCCTGATGTCATGGTCCTCTTTGAGAATGAAGGACAAAGGGGCAGCTAGGTGGTGCAGTGGATAGAGCACTGGCCCTGAAGTCAGGAGGACCTGAGTTCAAATCCAGCCTCAGACATATAACACTTACTAGCTTTGTGACCCTGGGCAAGTCACTTAACCCCATTGCCTAACAAAAAAAAAAAAGAAAGAGAGAGAGAATGAAGGACAAACAACAATGTTATGGGATGACTAACTTTGATAGACTTAGTTCTTCTCAGCAATGCATGAATCTAAGACAACTCCAAAAGTCTCATGATGGAAAATGCTATCCACATCCAGAGAAAGAACTATGGCGTTTGAATGCAGATTGAAGTATGCTATTTACTTTTTTTTCTGTTTTGTTTTGTTTCTTCTTTCTTGTGGTTCCTCCTATTGGTTCTAATTCTTCTTTACAACATGACTAATGTGAAAATATATTTAATAGGAACATATATGTAGAGCCTATATCAGATTGCACTCTGTCTTGGGGAGGGAAGATGGGAGGGAAAGGGAGAAGATTTAAAACTTAAAAGCTTATGGAAGTGAATGTTGAAAATGGAAAAATAAATTAATATTTAAAAAATCAAGTAGTGAGAGAGAATGAATATTATAATGAGAGGCTGAACCTATTCTAATGAACTTTGATTATGTAATTTACTTCTAAATTACCCCCAGCCTTAGGCAATCTAGTAAAAAATTTATCTTGCCCAAACCTGAGTAGAACACAATAGGATTAAATTCCTTATAAAATTGGGTGGGATCTGACCAAGATCAAGAGGGCTAATTCAATCTCAGTATCAGTAATGTCTTTCAAGAGACTGTACTCTGAAATGAGGACTATAGAAAAAGGAGAAACTCTGGATCTCCCCAAATCATTGTTTTTTAATAATCATTTCTCGCACAGTATCACACTTGGCTTGTCTACTTGTTATCACACTGACCAGCCCACCTCACTTTCACTATGTAATAAACCCAATCCTTTTCTGTAATCTATGTCCTTGATTATGTCATTTATGTCACTTGAATGCCACTCATCATAAGCTGCGACCCGCAGCCTACCACCGTTTGTCTTTCCTTGGGGCACATGACACTTTTATTTTTCTGTTATTTTTCTGAGATCATAGCGTTCTAGAATTCACAGCCTAGATAGCACACTGGGAGAGAGAATGTGATGTTAGAAGGGCGTTATTTTGTTTTGGCTGGTTATAGCTTGGGATCAAAAGCACTGTTCAACTTTTCCAGTGCTGTATAGGCCAGTCTTTTCCTTCCTGTTCAGTTCTGGACCCTACTTATAATACATATGTAACACTTGTTCAAGAATAACTCAGTGGAATACATTGTTGGTGGAGCTGAGAATTGGTGCAGCCATTCTGGAAAACAATCTAGACCTGTGACCCCAAACTTATTAAACTATGCATACCCTTTGACCTAGAGAAAGAGATCAGAGAAAGAGGAAAAGGACCCAAAAGTACAAAAAATATTTGTAACAGCTCTTTTCATTGTAGACCCAAACTGAAAACTGAAAAAATAGGAGGTGCCCACCTATTAGGAGTAGCTGAAACAAATTGTGTTATATGAAAGTAATGAACTATTATTGTGCAATAAGAAATGATTAAATGGATAGGTTTAGAGGAAATTGGGAAGATCTCAAAGAACTAATGCAGATCAAAGTGAGCAGAAATAGAATAATTTACATAATGGCAACATTATAGAGACAAATAACATCAAAAGACTTAACTTCAATTAATTCGATGATTAACCATTAGTCTCAGTGGACTGAAGATGAATCACACTGTCTCCTGCCAGAGAAGTGGACTTAAAAATCTGGAATGAGACATGAATATTTGAATGTGGCCAATATGAAAATGTGTTTTGTTGGACTATGTATACTTAGGGGAGGGGATAGCAGGTAATGGTAGAGAAAGATAAGTCCTTGTAAAAAAATTTTTTTTTAATAATTTTGAAACAAAAAACCTAACTCAATGGGCTTTCCTTAGTTGGCTGCTCATGTAAGTGCATGTTGTAATTTGGTTTGTTTTCCCAGTGTGGATAGTGAAAATGATTCTTCTCATGACTCTAGACTTCATTGAGGAGGCTGTAAAGTATTTGAGCCTCAGCATATTTACTACAATGTTATATGTGAACAGGGATTCTAGAGAACTCTTGATTAGGAGTCTTTATTCTGTTCAGATTCTGTAAGTCTTGGTTGTTAACTCTTTTGATATAGAAAGTAAAAGGGTTCTTGCTTTCAAATTCCAAAAGTATTTATTAAACACTTTCTATTTACTTGTTAGAAAAATCTGAAACAAAAATCTACTACAGAAGTGAGTAAAGGAAATCCTTTACTATGCTTCTTGAGAGAGAAGTGGGCACAGCGAACTTTAGTAGCACCTTGGTGCTGGTTCAGTGGTACAATCAACTTTTTAAACAGCTAGTAAGATCCATGCTCCACCCATCGGGGCTACAATTGGTCTAGTTCATCTGAGTTACACTCTTCCTGGACAGCCCATCACATGTTCTTCCCCAAGTTCTGTTAACTCCACCCACTTCATGGGTCCCATGTTCAAAAAGGCAGCTATCTCCTACCTTAGGGTGTGTTAATATTTAATAAGCTTATTAAGCCAGCGCAGTGGAGAAAAGCCTTTGCCCTGTTGAGATCCCATCCTTGAATCTGACGGGCTGCAACTGGTTTAGCTTCCAGGGCTCTTTGTTGAGGAACTGGTCATTTGGGGAATGTTTGGGGCACTTTCTGCTTGGTTGAAGGACTATCCATAAGATCTTGGAAGTCCTCAGAATCCCCTTGTTCTGTTGTGGAAGCCTAACGCCTTAATCCTTTCTTTCACTTATCTATTTATCTATACACACATATTTGTATTTTCTCTCTATAATATACACATTTAAGGGACAATGACCCCCTTATTTTTTAGATGTGGAAACTGGGGGAAAAATTAGACGATTTGTGAGAGACATCCAATACTTGAGTTAAATGTTTTATTTATAAATCACTATAAATTCAGTTTTCTAATTTGAAAATAAGGGGTCTCTTGTATATTTCTAAGGTACTTCCAGGTCTAAATCCTATTTTGATAATATCCTATAATATTAAGACTAAAGGTCTTTTCCACCATAAACCCTGATGCATTGTGGTCCATTCCATCTTTTTTTTTTTAAGGACAGATGTTCTTCACACCTATTCCATCCTTACGAAGGAGGTACCAGTGGATTGGCAATAAACATGACAAGGAATTTAAGTTGTTGTTTGTCCTTCACTCTCAAAGAGGACCATGACATCAGGAAGCTGATGCCATGACTTGAAGTAAATTGGATTTAAGTGAGGGAGAGCAATGCAAAGGCACCAGCCTCTCTCTCCTCTGGAGCCATCTGGGTCCAATGGCAAGAAATAGATGCAGTGGAAGACCTTGGCCTTTTAAAGTTAAGTTCTGTCCTACGTCTTAGTTTAACTGAGGCAATGCCCATTCAGTGATTAAGGTTGGGTAAGAAATGAGGCAGAGAAGGGCCTCTTTTACCTAGTCAAAAATTAAATAAAATCAGTCTGGGAGGGAAGACCCTCAGGGTTTCTGGCCAAAATAGAAACAATTGCTATTTATACTCACTCTGAGCCATCAGAATCCAAACAATGACCAAGTGAGGCTTGAGCTGGGACCTATTGTTGGCCAATCAATGAGAGCCAGAGTGATTTAGGTTCAAGGCATGGTCCTTAAGAAAGCAATCTAGCCATTAAATCCCAAAATAACCCTCCATTCCAGGTTTCAGCCATCAAAATTTATATTCCTTGCAGATCAAAGCATACTTTCGCTCTTTTTTTTTCTGTTTTGTTTTGTTTCTTCTTTCTGCAGTTCCTCCTATTGGTTCTAAATCTTCTTTACAACATGACTCATGTGAGAATATGTTTAATAGCAATGCAAAAAAAAATTTAATATTCCTTTGTGCAGCGCACCAGCAGGTAAGGGTATGGTACCCTCTGTGGACAGAGGGAGAGGAGGGAACCAAGGAATTTAAGTACCAATTCCTTGAACGGCATTACCTCATCTTTCTTCTTCTCATATTACAGGAAAACAAACAAGGAGAGTCATTTACAGCAATTTATGTAAAATGCTTATTTATTTTTTACAATAATTTACAATAATAGCACCTAGATTCCAGAGCTGAGGATCAAAATGAGAAATTTATAAGGCACTTTGCAAACCTTACAATGCTATTATGTTAGCTTTTATTATTATTTATACCCAATTGTCACACTGCAGTGATCTTTATTTAGGTTATTAACTGTTTCAGATCAAGGACTTGGGTCCTCAGTGGTAAAGTCACTTGCTGAAAGACACGCGGCTAGTAATTGAAAGAAATTAAAGTGTGTAAAAAATTTACATGTGTAATTTACTTGCTTTTTTAATTTAACAAACACCAAGTTCCTACTCGAAGCAAAGCACCACACAGGGCAAGGTACTACAGCCGGAGGGGCTGAATGTTCTCAGGCCGCAGGGGTCGTTACCTCTAAAAAGTAAACTCCAACCTCAGCCCCGCCCCCCCAGCCCAGACTCAGGGTGAGCGGGCGCGCCGCTTCAGGACAGCAGACGGCGCTGTCAGCAAGCAGGCCGGCAGCTCGCTCCAGCATGGGGGCCCCGCAGCGGCCCGGGTGGTTCGGTTTTGGCTTCCGCGGCTTCGGGCAGGCCCTGGGCTCGGAGCGGGGGCTGCGGAGCAGCCTACACGGGCCCGAGCCGCTGGTGCTGGAGGACATCCAGGAGGGAGACCCGGCGAAGGCCCAGGCTGCGGTCACCGACGTCTGCCAAGTGCGGCCAAGCTGGAGCTTCACCGGCTTCTTGACTCGTGAGCTCCTCCCTCCGCCTCCCTCCTCTCTTCTTCCCCTCCTTCCTCCCCACTCGCTTCCCCCTTGCTCCTCCCCCTCCCCCTGCTCTTCCTTCCCTTCCCCTTTTCCCCTCCCCCACCCTCCCTCCGCCCATCCTCTTCTTCCCCCTCCCTCCTCCACCTCCCCTCCTGTTCCTCCTTCCCCTTTCCCCCTCCTCCTTTCCTCCTCTTCTCTCTACTTCTCCTTCCCATTCTCCTTCTCTTCTTGCTCCTTCTTTTTCCACTTTGTCTCTTTCACCTCCTCCTCCTCTCCCCCTCCTTCTCTTTACACAGCCCCCTACCTTCTTGGGTCTTGCAGCCCCAGAGCTTCCTCCCTATCCTGTGCAGCTTGTCCTGGTGCACAGCTCCATCCCAATGAAGCTCAGGGACAGAGACCCTTCCTCTTACATTGTACACGTGTACACACACACACACACACACACACACACACACACACAAAGTCTCTGTGCATCCTGGTGCACACAACTCCATCACACACATATTCACACATATACATACCCATCCCTTTGGTTCCACACCATTTTTGGTAGGTGGAAGGCAGCAAGATTTCCCATTCACTTTCACACAGAGATTGGTTGGGAAATTATCTTGTGGACTACTGGTCTCTGATGAGCAAATCCTTAGCTGGACCTGTACTTTGAGGTCATATTTGGTCCCAAAAATATCCATGGAGATACTGATTTGTTGCACTTGTTATGGGGTCAATGCAAATGCAAAATAGGTTTTTCAGAAAAACAAAACGCTGATTTGTGTGATGCTAGACTGTTGAGTTTTATCAGCAAATCATAAAATAGTAATTTCTGAAGCTTTATATCTGGATGAGCTGGGTGAAGAACAGATGAAAGATGGGGTAGTTCCAGTTCATGTTTAGGTTGTAGAAGAGAAACAGGAAATAATGGTGATGTTGCAGACTGACCATCATAAGTAAGTTGTGGTAGACGGATCACTGGGGATAGACAAGTCTGCAGGTGTCATAATTTTCTGGGGAAATCTCTGCCCATAGAGTTCCTTAATTTTCATTTGTACAGCATATGTACATATACACCCCATCTCAATGTGCACAACTCCACACCAGTGTACACGACCCGGAAGTGTACTCTGCAGGGTACTCCCACACTTCAGGGTACAACCTGCCCCCCCCCTCGGCCGCTAGCCCTGGGTGAGGATGTTTCTTCCTTTCCAGGAGACTGGCGTCTAGTGTTGTCGGGCTCTGTGAACGGCCAGCTTTCCGGCTGCAGGGACGCGTTGGCCTCAGAGCAGCATGTGCTAGTGCTGCGCATGGAGGTGGAGGGAACCCCAGCAGAGGTGCAGGCCTGGGCTGCAGCCTCTGAGCTGCAAGGGGAACCCCTGTGGACGTGGAAGATCCTGCGTCAGGGAGACTGGGAGAAGGATTCTGGCTCTGGGGACCAGGCTGGAGGTCATGGAGGAAGCCCCCTGGATCCTGCTTTGCTACCCTTAGTTCCCGAGCCAGGGTGGTATGTGAGCCCCAGGCAGCCTTTCTCCCAGCCCCTGGCCCCTGAGCTGAAGGCCCGACAGCTGGTGCTGGGGGCAGAGCATGCCCTGCTGCTGGGTGGAATGGGGCAGGTGTACACGTGGGGCACAGGCAGGTAAGTGGAGGCGATCTGGTCAGGGTGGGGGCCCTGAGCCTGAAGAGGGCAGCCTTGAGCAGAGAGCTCTGAAACCCCAGTGCCGGCCTCTCTTTGCTCAGACTTGGGCAGCTGGGCCACGGGGCTCTGGAGGCAGAACTGGAGCCCCGGCAGGTGGAGGCACTTCAGGGCCTAGCCATGGCCCAGGTTGCAGCTGGCGGATGGCATTCTCTCTGCGTGAGTGGTAAGCGTCCTCATCCTTGCTCCTTTGGTAGCTTGGGCTCCCCTCAACCCAGTTATAGATCTCTTTGGGGGTGGTAAGTAAGAGGTAGTAAGGCCTTGGACAGGGCCCTGGAAAAGGGGTGTTGTCCAGGCCTGGCCATCAATTAAGTGTTTATTAAGTAGCTCTCACTGGCCCACTGTGAGGGATACAAAAATGTTAAGTTGTGGCCTTCTCCTTTGAAGGACCTACGTAGTACTTCTGTACTTTTGAGTGAAGTTATAGCCTCATCATACAGGAGGAGGCTACTCCTTCCAACCTGCAAGTTGCAGTTCTTTCCAGCCTTCCCATGCAGTGGGATTCCTATCCCATCCTTATCTATGTCTCTGTCCGTGTCTTTGGCAACTCAGGGAGATTCAAAACCAACTCACAGGCCAGTCATTTCCATTGAGCACAATGCTCTGCATGTATTGACTGCCAGTAAGTATTAGTTGAATAAATTCATGAATAATTATGGAATGCATTAAATGCTAAGTTGTATAGTATCACTGCCTTGTCAGCCTTAGGCTTCGAGGTGGTGCAGTGGGTAGAGCACTGGAGGAAGACCTGAGTTCAAATTCAGCCTCAGACACTTAAATAGTTGCACGACCCTAGGCAAGTCACTTAACCATTGTCTGCCTCAGTTTCTCCAACAGTAAAATGGGGTTAATAATAGCACCTACCACCCAAGGGTGTTGTGAGGGTCAAATGAGATTGTTTTGAAGTGTTTAGCACAGTTCCTGGCATGTAGAAGGTTTAATAAATGCTTATTAGTTCCTTCTGTACTGCCTGTCCTTGATCCTTGGCTCACTATAAATTTGTGTTACATAATCTCAAGTGGAGCCTCACTGCATCAAGGCAAACCCTTTATGCCTCCCTAATAGATTTATATCTCACTCACCACAATGGCTATTCCAAACTTTTATCCCTCCTCAAGCTTTCTAATGCACCCACATTTTCTCAGCGGAGGACCTAGCCTTAATCTGAGGCCATTCAATAAGGAGTTACTCTTCTTTCTCCCTTAGCTCATGTCACTTAGACATCTTCCCCCACTATTTTTTTTAGTCTGTTTCCCATGACCTATCCATGTGCACCTTTGATCTCATTTCCTCCGATCTTCTCCAGTAGTGCCCCCTGTATCATCCCCATTCTCTCTCCAATCTTGTTTCTCCCTGACAACCAGCTCCTTCTTTGCTGCCTATAAACTAGCTCATATCTCTTCCATCCTTAAAAAAAAAAATCTACAGGTCATTCCCCAATTGATAAATGGTCAAAGGATATGAACAGAAGTTTTCAGGTGAAGAAATTAAAGCTATCTATAGTCACATGGAAAAATGCTCTAAATCACTATTGATTAGAGAAATGCAAATCCAAACAACTCTGAGGTACCACATCACACCTATCAGATTGGCCAACATGATAAAATGGGAAAAATGATAAATGTTGGAGAAGATGTGGGAAAATTGGAACTATGCCCAAAGGGCTATAAAAATGTGCATACCCTTTGACCCAGCAGTAGCTCTTCTAGGAGTGTGTCCTGAAGAGATCATACAAATGGGAAAAGGACCCACATGTACAGAAATATTTATAGCAACTCTTTCTGTGGTGGCAAAGAACTGGAAATTGAGGGGATGTCTATCAGTTGGGGAATGGCTGAACAAGTTGTGGTATATGAATGTAATGGAATACTATTGTGCTATAAGAAATGATGAACAGGTAGATTTCAGAAAAACCTGGAAAGACTTGCATGGACTGATGCTGAGTGAAGTGAGCAGAACCAGGAGAACATTGTACACAATAATAGCCATGTCGTGTGATGACTTTGATAGACTTAGCTCTTCTCAGCAATGCATGGATCTAAGACCTCTCCAAAAGTCTGATGATGGAAATACTATTCATATCCAGAGAAAGAACTGTGGAGTTTGAATGCAGATCGAGGCATACTATTTACTCTTTTTTCCTTCTGTTTTGTTTTGTTTCTTCTTTCTTGTGGTTCCTCCTATTGGTTCTAATTCTTCTTTACAACATGACTAATGTGAAAATATGTTTAATAGGAATGCATATGTAGAGCTTATATTAGATTGCATTCTGTCTTGGGGAGGGGGGAGGAGAGGGAGAAAATTTTAAACTCAAAAGCTTATGGAAGTGGTTTTTGAAAAATAAAAATTAATTAGTTAAAAAATAAAAAAAAATTTTAAATCCCTTTGATCCATCCCTTAGTTAATATCCCATTCCTCTTCTGTTCACTTTTCTAAATTCTCTACAGTTTGGCTCTAACCTCATTATTCAACTGAAATTTCTCTCTTCAGAGTCATCAATGATCTCTTAATTGTCAGAATCTAATGGCTTTTTTCAGTCTTCATTCTTATTGATCTCTTGGTATCCTGCCCATCACCCTCTTCTGGATTTTCTTTCCTCCATAGGTTTTCATGGCACTGCTCTCTCCTGCTCAGTTCCATTTGCTGGGTCTTTTGTCAGGCCATATTCACTAGTCAGGCATGTCCTCTAAGGCTCTGTTCTGGGCCTTATCTCCTCTCTCAGTACTGTCTTGTTGAGCTCATTGGCTCCCATGAATTCAATTACCATCTCTATGTAGGTAATTCTCAGATCTGTATGTCTAGCTCTAGCCTCTCTGTTGGTCTATAAACCACAACTGCCTTTTAGACATCTCCAATTGGATGTCCTGTAGGCATCTCACAACTCAATGTGTCCAAAATACGACTCATCATCTTTCCCCCAAATCCTCACCTCTTTCCAAATTTCCTATTGTTGTTGAGGGTACCACCATCCTTAGTCATGGCTTGCAACCTTGGTGTCATCCTCAACTGCTCATTTACACTCAACACTTTCATTTTATTGTCAAGTCTTGTTTTTACCTTTGCAGCATATGTACTGTCTTCACTCCCCCCACCCCTCATCAGCTTACACCTGTACTATTGCACTAGTGTTCTGGTTTGTCTCTTTGCCTTAAGTCTCTCCCCACTCCAATCTAGGCTCCACTCAGCTACCAAGGTGATTTGTCCTAAATTGCTGGTTTGGCCTTGTTTGTTGCCCCTAAACTCCATTGACTCCCATTACCTCCAGAATCAAATATCAAGTGCTGTTTGGCATTTAGACTTTGGCCAGACTTCACAGTCTGGCTCCTTCCTACCTTTTTGGGCTTCTTGCACTTTCCTCCCCTCCATGGATCCTCTAAGACCCAGCTACAGTGGCCTCCTGGATGTTCCTCAGACAGGACACTCCATCTCTCAAAACTCTTCTTTATCATCGACTGTCTCCCATGTCTAGAATGCTCTCCTTTCTCACCTCCACCTCCTGACTTCTGTGGAGGCTCAGTCCGAATCCCACCTTTTTTAGGAGGCAATTGGGGTTAAGTGACTTGCCTAGGGTCAGTCACATACTGAAGGCTTAACAAGTGCTTGACTGACTGTTGACCGACTGATTGCAGCTAGAGCCCACCACCGCCCTGCTAAAAAGTCACACAGTTCCGTTTACTTTCTATAAAAATGCTAGAGCTAAGGGGCAGCTAGGTGGTGCAGTGGATAGAGCTTCGGCCTTGGAGTCAAGAGGACCTCAGTTCAAATCTGGCCTCAGACATATAACACTTACTAGCTGTGTGACCGACTCTAGGCAAGTCACTTAACCCTGATTGCCTCACCAAAAAAGCTAAAGAGCTTTTTTTCTTCCCCAGAGGCTGGTGATCTCTATATCTGGGGCTGGAATGAATCTGGGCAGCTTGCACTGCCTTCCAGAGCCATAGCAGAAAGAGAGAAGACAGTTGCAGGTGGTAAGAAGTTACATTTTAGTATTTGCCCCTCTCCTCATTCTGGTCTTCCAAGATGCCTGTCATTATAGCATCCCTAGCCAGCCTCTCGCTGCAACAAAATATACACAGCCCCTCTAGGAGTCCTATGCCACCTTTGCCATTGATCTGCTCAGTAAACTGAGAATTGCTTGTTTGTCTCTGAGCTTCTGGGCTCTACTCATGTAGTCCTGAAGTGAAGATGCCAGCCAAGGATGGGGATGGAGACCCTGCTCAGTTCATATCAGTTCAGCCTTTCCCAGCATTACTGGATCTTCCCAGTGGCTCAGAGGTCAGCAAGGCCAGCTGTGGATCCCGACACACAGCTGTGGTGACCCGTAAGTACGGCTTGGCCTGGGGTGAGGTACTTGGTAACTGTGGCATTAGCCAGTTTCATCAGCCCCAGGCTGAGACAGTAAATGGAGGAAGATAATCAGCAAATGCTGATTAGTGGCTGCCAGTAAGGGTAAGGTCCTCTTACAGGACTGAGCCCCTTGTCCAGGCAGTTTTCCACCAAAGCAAACAAAGCACCAGCCCAGCTCTGTACCCAGGCTTGGTCTGTTCACTGCTGGCCAGGGAGAACTCACATGTTCTATAGCTTCTTGACATCTTGTCCACACGATTCTCAGGTTCTTCAAAGGCGCTAAACTTTTGGCTGACTGTTAAATGCCTTTACAAGGGAGGGTGTGGTGACTGTCTTACTTTTGTTGTTTCCATTGCAGGAGATGGTGAACTCTATACTTGGGGCTGGGGTGAGTAACCTTACCTGTAGGAAAGCCAGGGGAAGGAGTGTTGGAAGAATTCATGTCCACAAGAAACAAAGGTGAAGGGCGGAAGACCAGTGTTTATCACTAGGGAGGGGGATCTAGGAGGTCCATCACTAAGTTCTCTGGCCCTGAAGACTGCAAGATTGCATAGTCCCCAGGAGCACTGAGGAAAATGTGAGAGAAAAGGCAAGAACCTCAGAGCCAGCAGCCACGTCTGTGTGTCTGTCTTCAAGGGGCAGTAGAGGAAGGCTAGAGAGCAGATCTTTTCAGGAGTGGCACGGAGAACCCTTTGGCTTTTCCCAGGTGTTTTCAAGTACTTCTAACCACTGGAGTGCTGGGGTTTTTAGATTTCCAGCTACCCGAAGTAACTCCTTCTCCTGTTAAGGGACAGGGACTGGGGCAGGGGTGGGGAGAGGGGGAGTGAGTCATTTCCCCAGAAGTAGCAGGGGCTGTGAGGTTAGTGAGAGGGAATGGCAAGAAGGCATTTGTTTTTGTTTACTCCAGGTAAATATGGACAACTTGGTCACAAGGATACGGCCAGTTTGGATCAGCCCCAACGGGTAGACTATTTCACAGACAATCTGCTCCATGTGGAAGCTGTGATCTGTGGCCCGTGGAACACTTACGTGTATGCTGTGGAAGGGAAGAACTGATCTTCTAGCCAGCTGGACAAAACCACATTGTAGCTGAAGAATCTGAGTCAATTGTGTGTCACTGTGTCTTTTTATAGGTATAGAAAACAAATTAGGGAAAAAAGGGTAGAAAACCCTTGCCCCTGTTTATATATGTATTGGCACTGGCAATTATTAGCAAGGCAAGAAACCAAGGGTTGGTTTGGGGCATGCCTAGTTCTAAATTACCTCTAGCCCAACCCTAAAATTTGCTTCCTTAAAAATCTTGAAAACAAACTTTCAGGTAAAATAATTCAGGTCTCCTAAAGTTACTTTTTATCTTTGGCAGCTTTGAAATGCTAATGACAGATATGTATACCTTTTAACTTTAGCATTCAAAAGCTGTTCTATACAACCTATCCATCCATACCTTGGATGGTTTCAGGGGGTTTGCCCCAGGTGTTCCCCACCCCCACTTTAGCCCCCAAATATTCATAACCTAAGTCTCTGGTGATGTGCCCCTCTCCACTTAAGAGACCAATTTTCAAAACCTTTATAGCTGTGTAGAACCTGTTGAGGCCGGCATTCTTCCAGTCACCAGGGGCACTTCCCAGGAGAGTGAGGCCTGAGAGAGGGGACTCTGTGCAGGGATGTATGGGAAGAAATGAAGATGTTTTGGCTATCCTTTTGAAAATTGGAAAAGGGAGGGGGCAGCTAGGTGGCCTAGTGGACAGAGCACTAGCCTTGAAGTCAGGAGGACCTGAGTTCAAATCTGGCCTCAGACCAAACACTTGACACTTACTAGCTGTGTGACCCTGGGCAAGTCACTTAACCCCAATTGCCTAAAAAGAAAAGGGAAAAAAAAGTTGGAAATGGGGTAGAAAGTATTCATGGGAAAACCAAATCAGCTGAGGCAACGGGGGGGGGGGGGGGGGGGGCAGACCTGAAAATAAAAAACCTCAAACCACGCCCCCCCATTCTTATTTTATAATCAAATAAGTTTACTTGCTATGCATCAATATAGGGTTAATTTTCATCCTAAATGTCAGAATATCAAACTCATGGGTTCTAGATTAGGAACTAGCCTCTAATATTTACTTAGACTTGGGAAGTACAGATATGTTTGGGGGTGAGGTGTATTCTTCGAAAGGACAAAAACCTTGACACTTCCTACTTTAGAGATGTTTCACATCTTATTTTATTGAAATGTTTTACTTTTTCCTTTCATGTTATAATTCCCAACCTAATAGACCATTTTTTAAGGCATAAGGTAACGTGGTCTATTTTTGCTAAGACTAGGAAAAAAAAATGTGGAAAGTCAGTAAGCATGGGACCTGTGATCCTCAACCGTGTTTAGTAGTGATTTCCTTTAGATACCAAGTAGGCCCCAAAGTTCCCAGGGAAGTCAAATTACTTGCTTATTGAACTATAAAGCAGATATCTGTGGCACTGCACCCCCAGTCCTCCAACCTGTCATTTCAGGGCTCTACTTCTCTTGGTCTTAGTTTTCTCATTTAAAATAAGGTCTCAGGTCCCACTGAGGGAGAGGATGGCTGCTTCAATGCATGTGAGAGCATTCTCTCTTTGCAAAGTCCACATATTAACAGTATTGAGACAGTATTCCAATGTATAGCATTTCAAGAAAAAAACTTTTATAGCTTATCAACTTTTGTAATGTAAATAAATCACATAATTTGTTTTATGAGGTTCATTTTCTTTCATCAGGAAGCAGCATGGTACAATGGAGAGGGACTTGAAGGTTCTTCCTAGCTATAAACTTAGAATCCTATGTGTGTTAGGATACATTTGCATGAGTAGAGAGTTCTAGAAGGCCTAGAGAACAGTTGGCAAGTCCTTCCCTTGAAAGATTCGCTGTAAAGCTGCTAGATATACAGAACAAATTCACACACAATCTTCTGGGAACCATTTATTACAAACACAGCAGCATATGCTCAGACCCAGTTAGAGGAGAAATCGTGCTTTGGAGGGAGCTGGAGTGAGAAAGTACATAGGCATGATTCTTCAGCATTGTGAACAGTAACCAAGGCAGCTGCCTAGCATTACAAAGAGAAAATTACAGATTTTTACTCTTAAAAATCAGTAACCAATTTTGTAACTACCCCTCAAGCTCAGTCTTACTGTAAAGAGAAAGAAGGGCAAGGACAGTGGATTCAGACAAGAACAAAAGCCGAGTAGAGGGGTCAAGAATGAACACACACATACGCGTGCAAAAGCTCAGAGGTTTAACTCTTAGAGGAAAGAAACATAACAGCCAATGTGACGAAAGACGACATAAATAGAGGAGATGGGAGGGAGGGGGCAAGTTCTCTTCCTTTCAGGGATTTAGCCTAATCTTCCTAGTCAGTTCTTTGGCAGTAGGTTGTGCTTCCCTTATATACGATTTCAATTTCAAATAAAGAAGCAGATTATATGTACTGCGGTTATAGTAGGCTGTCCTAAGTGTTATCGAAGGGGATATCCCTTTGAGGAAAAAGAACAAAGCTAAAATAAGGGGTTAATGAACAATTCAAACTGAAAAAGTTTTAATTATTAGTCTATGAGTCAAAATTACACTGTAAAAAGATACAGCCTATACAAAGGAGGGATTCAACCAGCCATCTTCTATTTCATTAAAAAACAAAAATGACACTGTTAAACTCGTGTAAGTGAGTCAAGGAACAGGGTAAACACTATAGGTCTTTTAGAACTTTAAATTTACACTTTGAGCTATTTACATTAAACTAGGTTTACTTTATTCAGCGTCAATGAGGAAGAATTACTGATTAAGACTAAGTCCCTAGGACCAGCTGGACCTCTAAAAGGCTTCCGCACTATGGCTGTAACCTTTTATCAGTTGCTAAGCTTTGGATCTAGTCATTGGTTTAAACGTCTCCTTAATTGAGAATAAGCCTGAAATAAGACATATATATAGATACATTTATATGGATATATATACAAGCCACCCCAGTGTCTTTACGTCCAGTTGGCACAGGGAAGCCACAAGCAGGGAGGATGCGGAGGGCCTTCTCAGGACTGGATATTTGTAGAATTGAGGATTCGAGAAGGGAAGTCAGATCTGGAAGCCTTTGAAAGTTCTCGCTGTTGGAAGAGAAAAGGAGTCAGGAAAGTTGAGGTTGGGAAGGCTGGGGTGGGGTGGGGGGAGCCCAGGAAGCTGTCAGTTCAATGAGGGACTCCTCTTTTTCCCTCCCTTCCAGCACAGCAGCTCTGGAAAGTCCCAACAGCAAGAAACAGTCAAGCTTCTCATAATAGCAAGCAGGGGGGATGGTCTCGCCTTGATTTGGACATGAGGTCAGATTTTAGTCATCAGTCCCACCAAAAGTTGTGTTAAGGACATGAGTCAAGGGGATCTGTGCATTTAGTTAGTCACAGGAAATCTCAAATGCAAATACACATCCCAAGTCACACTGAGCTGGGAAAGAGACCTATTCTGTGGAACAGAAATGCCAAAATGTCCATGGAGCTTTTGGGCTCAGAGGTGAAGAGCTAGTGCCCAGGGAAACAAAAAGGATGGAAGGACTGGCCCTTGTTCCCTCTATAGACCATGGGCCAAGCATATCTACCAATCCCTGGGGCTGGAAGCCCCGTGACCTGCTGATGATTTGATCTCATGCTGGAGCACATGGTGTGAAAAGGTAAAGGCCAAGTTATAGGAAGATGTTAATGGATGTTAGATTGAAACAGGCAGTACTAGAGCTGGCAGACAAAGCCGTGGCAAAGGCTCCTAAGGATCCTTCCAGGAAATCAGGCACAGAATACTGGGACCTGTAGGGATTAAACTTATTAAATAAGTCTGGTCTGGACTAGACTGAGAGAACAAGGAGGTGACCCTTCACCATTCCTCAATTATCAAATTACACCATTGCTAAAATGCTCATCCTTTTGTAGATGGAGCTACTACCCATGGAACATGATGCTGCTGAGAAAAAAAAAAAGACAAAAAACCCCAACAACCAACCCATATTGCAATAACTGAAGAGGCAATGATGCCTAACTGTGATATTATATAAGGGGTCTGCCTCCTGCTGTCATTGCAGCATAAGCCATTGAATGAGAGTATGATCTGGTCCCTCCCAGACTTGAACCTTAAGTCTCCACTGGGGCCTGGGTAGCTTTCTATCTGAACAGAAAGGTACTAAAGGAATAATAATAACAACAACAACAGCTGAAATTATGTAGCACTCTAACATGTGAAAGGTGCTTTACATGCGTGACCCCACTGTTAGATTAAAGGTGTTAATGGCTATTGTTAGGTGTTAAACAGGGCTGAGAATATCAAACCAAGACATAGGGCTCTCAAACCGTTATGGTGCTTTGATCAGCATGCAGTGCTATTCTGGAGAATCTCGGCCCTTCAGTGTCTCAGATATCCAAGCAGCTTCATGCAGAAGAAACAGGGAAAGCAGGCAAATGAGTATTAGCTAGCTTATAGTAAACTGAAATAAAGCAGTCTAGTATGACAGGGGTTAGTGAGGCATATACTCCATGAAATAATCAGCACACAGGCCCAGAGCAACTAAATACTGGAAGCACACAGTCAGGGGTTCCGTCCCTTCACTCCCAAAACAGTGATTAGGTCACCTATGTTGTTCTTTTATGGCACGTGCTCAAACCAGGGTGGTGGGTTAAGCTTTCCAAGTTAGAAAACTGCCATTGTAACCAACCTGCCTGGCTTTAAATGGAGCTGGGAACGCAAGTCACAGCCAAGTTTTCATAATGAGATGATTCAGTATTTGAGAATTCAAGAAACCTGATACTCCCAAGTTAAAAAGTCTATTCAGTAGGCTTTCCTGCTCCCCCTTACCCAAGGATTCTTTGGTAAATGTGGCTGAGTCCTCTGGTTAGTACAAAGCTTTTCCTAGATGGTAATGAAGCTGATAGATATCAAGTAGGTTTGAAGGAAGAAGGAACATGCTGGGACATACAGACCTGAGACCCAACAGATGAGCAGTCAAAGAGTGAAGGGTCCTTCTACAGAATAAAGAATTGAGACAGTTACCAAGAACTCCACCAAGAGAACACTAAGGTGGTCACTGCATGAATGGTAAGTGTTTAGGGAAATTTCCTTCTGCAAGTGAGGAACAGTTTGTCTCAGAAAGATTCAATTTAGATGTCCAATCAAAATAGTCAACTTCCCTCCTGCACAGGACTTCCCGCCAAGGCAAGAAAGGCTTATGAGCCCCCAAAGCTGACTTTGTCCTATCTACTATCTTGTGCTCCCCCCTAGGAGTTTCCCCATTCCACCCTGACTGTGTGCTCCCCAGGGATTGGTAGATTTTTAGAAAAGGAAAATTACCGCAAACTCAGAATAGGTGCTGGCAACAGAATTAACGGTGAAGTTATGCTGGAGAGGGGCCGAGTAGGGACACCCACCAGTCAGGATGCTGCCACTCAACTCAATGTTCTCTTTGTCGTGTCCCTGTCTGCCCAGAGGGGCTGTCCTTTGCCCCAAACGGCTAGGAGTCTTGGATGGCTGGCCAAAGTAAGCAGAAGGAAAGAAAGGAAAAAAAGAAAGGTAAGTCATCCTTCACAAAATCGTTAATGGTACAATGTCTAAAGTCACCAAAAAAGTTCAAGAAGATGGTCATATGTTCTGGATACTGTGTGTTCTCGTACTAAAAATGCTTCATGGATCTATGATTTCATTGGTGTGAGTCCTCCCTTCCACTGATAGATTGCAGCCCCTTTACACTTTACTGGCTATCCTTTGAGAGTTAGCCAAAAAATGCATAACCCTGTGGCTGACCTAGTAG